AATTCTTTGAAGGTCAGTGAATGCCTCTGGTCCAGTTCTTTCTGTTGTCACTGTTGTTGTTGTTTTAGGTGTCATTTAACTAAAATGTTGCTTCAAATACATTGGTATAACCTGTTTAAATTATTTAGTTAATCTTGGCTTAATTGTCAAAGGTCATATGGATGTATATATTCATCCAGACTTAGAAGCAGTAGATGAGGAAAAGTAATTCAGGGCAGAAATTCATGAAGTAGGAACAAAAACAACAGCGACAACATGAGATACCAATAATCAGTGAAATGAACAGTCCTTTGCCAAAGTAACCGAGAGAGAGAGAGAGAGAGAGAGAGAGAGAGAGAGAGAGAGAGAACCAAATCCACAAAATTAGAGATGAAAGGGGGGGAAGATATTATAACACATATCAATGAAACTCAGAAAATCATTCGTGTATCAAAACCAAATTCCACTAAATTGGAAAAACAAAAAGAAAAGGAACTTCTACATGCTTCTAACAGAATAAAAAAAAAAAAGAGCACATGAAGTTGGGGGTGGGAGATAAGCTGGGGCAGACCCCGGGCAGTTAGAGGGAGCGGGGGTTAGCTATGACATAATAGATGAAGTTTTCAGAGAATGAATGAATAAATGAAATGAGAATGTGTCCCTGTTGGAAATTAGAGTAACCCACAGTAAAATAACTTCACTGGGTGTCACAAGAAAACACAACACTAATCATCTGAGGGTCTCCTTTAGAGGCTCCAAAAAAACGCTTCTTACACCCAATAAATGCTGCAGTGAGGATCCCTGTGCAGGGCTGGAGGGATGACTCAGTGGTTCGAAGTATGCGCTGTTCTTGCAGTACTCACGTGACTGGCGTAGACTACAACTGCCTGGAAGTCCTGCTACGGGGAATCTGGCCTTTGGTTACCTGCACATACGTGGCACACACACACATACACATCAATAAAATGAAAATACTTATGAAATCACTGTGTGTGGAGGAGGAGGGATGATAGCAGAAGTGATGGTACTTATGCATGAGGACCAGAGTGTGGGTCCCTCGTACCCACGTAGATGCTAGGTAGTCATGGCACCTCTCTTAACTTCAACATTTGACAGGCAAAGACAGGAGTTCCCCCAGAGCAGACTGGCTAGTTTAGCTGACTGGGAAGCTCACTTGCTTAAGAGGCCTCTGGTGAGGCCTGTTGATTTCGATAGCCAAGCACAGCAAAGGACCTGTGTGTCCACAAAGGGCCTGGAGTGCCAAGACCTCTGGGGCTTTGGACTTGACCTGACAGAATAGATGAGGGAAAGATAAAAGGACAGACATACAGACACATAACAGAAGAGCTGAGGTAGCTAGGATCTGCTGAGCCATGAACTCTGATGGAGACATGCTACCAAACCAGAAACTCAGTATGTTTACTGTATCGACAGCACCTCAGCGACTTCTGACCATTTAGACCTAGGGCAGGAAAAGCAGATAGACAGTCACTTCCAAAGTTTTATCTACCCACTGGCTTCAGACCATAGTAAGAGGAGAGGGCAGAGTGGAACCTGCCTATGTGTAGTGAAGGATTCTGTCAGTGTAAGACAAAACAGAATATATTCCAAGGGCAGGTGTTATGCCCAGATTCTAGGGTCCCCAAAGACCACCAACTTGTATGAAAAAGCAAAGAGTCTTTATTCAAGTCGAGCCTGGACCCTCAGGCTCCTCAGATGCAGCAGGGTCTTGCAGAAAGCACTAAGCACCTTTTTATTGGGGTTACATCAGTGTGAGGGAGCTTATCAACCCAGTGGGTACGTGATTGGCTAACAGTGATTTCAGGGGGGCTTAAGCAATCTATCTATCAATAGCCTCTGGAACAGTAGGAATTTTCCTGCTTGGTGGCCTGTGTCTAGGATGGCTCATTCCTGGAATAGTTTGTGATTTTTCTAGTAATTAGAGTTTAACCTGAGGACAGGACCTAGTGTATAAAATGTACACCTGGTTACAGGATGGATTCTGCCTGTCAAGTTGGGGCCTTTTATTCCCCCGTTCACAAGTACCTAAGTGTAGCTGCCCAGGGGCTTATGGTTGAGCAGGGATCACCTGAAAGGAGGGCTGGAGATGAAAAGGACGGGGGTGGGGGTGAGGGGTGGGAGGTGGGGGTGTGTGAGAGAGAAGCATGAAGCTAAGACAGTATTCTGATCGAGGCTCAAAGTTTATTTCTGCAGTTCCAGCTGATAAGCACTTCAGCAAACAAAGTTCTTCTTGAAAAAGTTTCTCTACAGACTAAACATAGAAGTTCCTCTTGGCTACACATACTACTTTCTGGCCTTGGCCACACATACTGCTCTCATGGCCTTGTGCCCAGCCTGCGGGGTGGGGGTGGGGTGGGATGGGGTGGGTGGGGTGGGTGGGTGTGCGCTACAACAGGATACCCTAAGAGAGAAGGGGAGAGAATGGAAGAGACAGGAGACGCAAAGAATAGGTCTGTCGAGCTGTATTTTCTCAGGCAATTTATACAGGCAGGGAAGGGGATAATGTGCTTGGGGGAATTTCACAGAAGCTGGGCGTTCTGCCACGGCAGATATCTTGCAACCACCTATGTTTTTGTCTGGCTCAGGGCGCAGCAATCACTTTCCTTAGGGCCCAGCAACCATTGGCCACCTGCTTTCTCAGGAGTCGATAGCTGAGGAAAAACAAAACCTAAAACTATTCTTTCAAAATGGAGTAAGGTTGGCTCCCAGCATCTCCTCCGTTTTTATTTAATTTGTATGAGGCTGGCGAGAAGGCAGACACCTATGGGTCTCCTTGATGAACGAGCGGGCATTAACCGGAGGGGGAAAGCATTGACCTGATTCCTCTCGTGGGGAACAGAGGGTTGTTCTTCCCACATCTTGGGCGGCTCTTGGTGTCTTTTGGAGAGGAGGGGCAGAGCCTGACTTGGTGGGAGACCCCCACAATGAGTGGTCCGAGGATCGACACCAACCCCTATGCAAATCAGGTTTGCTTCACGGGGGACTCAGAAGCAGACAGTTGTGTCCTCCCCCTGCAGTGCTTCGCCTTACACTCCTTGCAGGTGCCACGCTGCCGAGCCAGTGTGCATAGATCTGAGTTTCTATGCATCCCCCACAGGGGCAGTGTCATCGCATGGCTCAGCCAGGCCTCTATCAGCCAAATCAAGTCTATGATAATGTACTTGTGGAGGTTTAGATGCCAAGGAGTCAATTTGTTGTTTTATAAAGCCAGTGAGTCTGTTAAAGGCCCAACGGCCGAAAGCCAAAAGGAGGAGACTGACTACAGGACCCAGGATGGGAGAAGGATGGTAAACCAAGGAGAGGCAGAGAACCAGTTTTTAAGCCACCCCTCTTTTTTGTTCTCGCTGTTTCTTTCGCCATTTTAATCTCTCTCTGATCTCGGCCATACTATGTCTAACTACCCTGGTATGGTCAGTATAAAAACAGCATTCCAAGCCGGGCAGTGGTGGCGCATGCCTTTAATCCCAGCGCTTGGGAGGCAGAACCAAAAAAAAAAAAAAAATCAGCTTCCCCCCTTGCGGCTGGCACAGCCCCCCCCCCCCCCCCACCTTGTTGAAGGAAAAGCAGATCAAGCCCTCTGTGATTTTGGAGGACCACTTCAGACAGCGAAATGAGGGATTTTTTCAGTTTAGGGATGCTAATCTCTGGCTGGCTGTTCCATGTTCTTGTCAATGGCCCGTTGAAGAGCTAAGTAGTGCAAGTCCAGAGAGCGGCATCAGGATTAGAACCACCAACAGCAAACACCATGGGTGGCTCATTTTTACCTGGAAAGGAAAAAAGGGGGGGAGGGGAATTCTTAGGGAGATCTCTCTTCCCTGGATCTCAATTGTTACTTATCTTATCTACAATTGGGTCTGGCTTTGTGGAGGTATCTATTTGTTTCACAATATCTTGTCCTTGAGGATTCTAAGGAATCCCAGTGATATGGGTAATATTAAATTGTCAACAAAACATCTCAAATGCTTGACTGTAATAGCCAATTAATTGTCTTAATCTAATTTGGAACACCAAGTATAGAAATGACTAATGTCATTTCTCGTTGCTTCTCCTGTTAAAGCAGTTGAAACTAGAAATGACTAATGTCATTTCTCGTTGCTTCTCCTGTTAAAGCAGTTGAAACTAGAAAGCTGGAGAAGGTATCAATAGGAATATGTACATTTTTTTAAATTTTTCAAAATCAGAAATATGAGTAACATCCATTTTTACCATAATTGATTAGGTACGAATCCTTGAGGATTCACACCATTATGTGGTACAGGAAGAAACTGAGGACAAGTCTTTACAACTTGACATGCACATTCTCTAGAAATGCCAAACTGTTGTCTCAAACTATTACTATTTTGATGATGTAAAGAATGAGACTTTCTTGACTAATTGTTTCTGTGTAAGGCCCGTAATCTGCCTGGTATGCAAATCCCAGGAGTCCAGGCAATCTAGTATGAGTTCTTAAATGTCCTATAAAGTAAGGAACAGTGCATTCTCTTAAATTAAGCTGTATTTGCATAAATAATTGCAAAATTTGAGAATTAGCAATATCTTAAAAAGGAACAATTTCAAGCAATTGTAAACCATGAGCTATATATTGGCTATCAGTATACAAACTAAAAGCTTGATTTTTCAACATTTCAAAAACAGTGGCTACAGCATGTAATTCAATTATTTGTGAAGCGGGGGAACTCGAGAGAGTAAACATGTGATCTAATTACATATGTTTCCTTTCCATTAGATGAGCTATCCGTAAATACAGTAAGCGCATTCTCTATGGGCTGCATCCATACATTACAGGAAATATAAAAGTATGCATAGAGGCAAATTCTAACAACTTGTTTTTTGGATAATGATTATCAAATTTGCCTTAAAAGTTTGCACATGCAATAGGCCAAACATCAGTATTCTGCAATGACTAATTTAATGGCTATTTGGAATAAGGAATAAATATTTCATCAGGTTCTTTGCGTAGCGCCCGCCTCGCCGATAAGGAAGACGCCACACACGATGAATTCTTCTGACACACGGTTTATTACAGCTCTTTTAGGTTGCAGGCGAGAGGGCCCCGAACTGCAGAAAAGTGGCTGCTTATATAGCCCAAGAAGTCCCAGCCCCCGGATCCTGAATGGTCAGTCAGTGCTCGCAACATGGTGTGTCTAATCTGGATTGGTCCCTGGCGTAAGCCTAAATTAGCATAAGAGGCGCGCGTGGCTTGCACATGCGCACTAGTATCCAGGCCTTCCGTGAGGAACCCGGAAGCAGTCGCCGTCGCCATCTCGTTATGGCGATTGCGGCTCCCAACATCTCCCCCTTTTTTATTACTTAAAAGGCAATCCAACTAGATCATGCCGATCAGCTTGCTGATTGAACAGCTTGAGCGATCGAGGCTAATCCAAATGGGAGACCCTATGGGCCTGTACTCCCGTGCAATGGGAACCTGAGCCCTGGGAGGCGCCATAGGACTATTAGCAGACTCTTAGTGAAATGGGAACCTGTGCCCTTAAGAAGTCTTGCGAGATAGTGTCTCATTGCCTGAGAATATTTATCCAAACTTGGGGGGATGCCCCTTGTTCTAGTGCGACAAGTGCTTGAACCATCATGCAGCGATCTCGATGCCTCTGTCGGTGTAGCCTGAGGACCATCCAGATACAGAACACGACTCCTATGCACAACATTGACCCAAAGATCCCTGTTCCAACCCACTCTTTGAAATAGGAAAATGCAGAGGAAAAAGCCAGAGGAAAGCCAGCCACTATGATCTTTAGCAAAATTAACGTCCACCCATGTGGAATTAATACGGGTGACTGCTTGTCTCAGTCGAATCAGGGTCTTGTCAAATTCTTGACTCCAGTTGGTCTTGAGCTGTAAAGATAATTCTTTTGACAATTTAGCTGCAGCTGTAAAATTATCATATAGCACAGAGGTCACACAGAGTCCTGGCATTTTTATTTCACATCCCAATTGTGCCAATTGCCATAAAATATCAATTTGTTCTTGTAGGAGGTCTATTCTTTGATTAACGATCATAAGACCTCCTTTTAGTTGATTTTCTGCAGTGACTCTGGTATCAATGGCTTCTGTTAGAGCGGCTGAGAGCTCATTAACCGCTGCCGCAGTCTGTGCGGTGCCTGATAAAGCCGGGGCGGAGGTGGTCATCGCCGTAGCAACTGCCGCTGTCGCAATAATGGCAACAATGGCGGCTGTGACGCCAAAATCTCTCCTTTGTCTAAATAAGGACAAGGTATTAGGTGCTTCAACTGGAATGGGGACAAATCTTGGCAATCTAACAACTACAGCATGACTACTTTTATGAGCATATTGGGGTTGTATCACCCAGGATGATCGTCTATCTGTCCCCTCACTACTATTAGTTGGGTTCTTAGTAGTAGGCCACCAACCAAAAAGGACTGTGGCATTAGCAATTAAGAGAGTCTTGTTAACCTTTTCTATTTTCTCCAATTGTGCATAGGAATAGTTACCTAAACGAATACAAGGATAATCTGAGCTGTTATAAATGGTAAAGCTGTTATTAATGGTAAAGCAGAGGCTACCATTTAAAAATGGGTTATCACTTAGGTTGGTCGCCACTGCGGATGAAACCATGAGGAACCCGGAAGCAGTCGCCGTCACCATCTCGTTATGGCAATTGCGGCTCTCAACAGTTCTTTCCCAAAACACTTTCTTGATTCTGTCCTACAATTCCATATTAACATAGCACCAGCTTCAGAATAGGATATTTAAACTTTACTCGGGGATGAAGGAAGATGAATCCACATGAATGGTCCCTTTTGCCAAAGGACTGCTGTGTAACTTGATCATAGTCTATATAATGTATCTGTTGCTGACTAATAGCTTCGTCCACTTCCCGCAAAGCTATTCGTCCCTCATCAGTTAATTGTCCAGGGGAATTAGAATTTACGCTCCCCTTAAAAAATATCAAACTGAATTTTAAGTTCCCCCGTGCCAAGCTTAGGGTGAGGTCTTAGCCAACTAACATTTCCTGACAGCTTGTAAGTTAAGCCATCTTCTCTTATTTGCATTTTCTTTGCCACAATTTGTCTAGGATATAACTGATGTCCCAAAGATTGAAAAGGATCTTGTCTTTGAATCTTTTCTTCCCCAAGATTTTAAAGCTCGTTGTATCGGGGCAGAGGCTTGTAGTAAAACTCCTTCAGAGGGATCAGCTAATAAAATACACATGTAATGACTAATATACATCGGAGGAGTCAAAGTCCTAACCTCTTGTATTGAAGCAGAAACAGAAGTTTGACATTAATACAGGGCTACTGGTCATTCCTTGAGGCAAAACTTTTAACTGAATGGTCCAGCAAGGGTAGATACTAAGGAAGTCGACCACGGGGACCCATTAAACATGCTTTCACACCATCCTTGATATTGTTCCATTTCTAATTTTCTGTCCTGTATCCTCCTTAGTTCTGCCATATTTTCCCTAACTATGCCAGTCTAGCCTGCATAGACACAGCATTCTTCTCCTCATGCGACATGTAGTCCACCTTGCTGTAAGAACAATAGACCTATCCTCTTCTATTCTGCAACCCAACTTCAGCCAGGGAAGAGAGTGGTTTTTCTAAGGCAGACATTGATTTTTCTAGTCTTTCAACATCCCGCCAATAGCCAGCCTCAGTGACCTGTAATGAGCATCTTGCAATACCAGAGCAGAGGGGTTCCCGTGCCTACGGATCCAGAAATATCTATACCTAAGAGGGTAGAGAGAGCAAGGGAACTTATGGGTTCCATTTTGGATCATCTATGAGGCCCAGGATTGAGATGATTAAAGACATCTTTTCCTGAATGGTACTCTATTCTTGGGATGAGTTGTACCAGGACACAGCAATCAAAGGAGGCATTTAAGACTCCAGTGGAATGCATGGAGTTAGACCAGTAGAGCATGCCCACTGTGTGTTATCAGGAGGAACCAAGTACCCTGAACCTGTCCCAGTTACTGTGGTCTTACATAGGTAGGAGTATCTTGGGGGGCACAGAATTACCTATACAGAGCCCTTGTCCCAAGAGTGACTGCAGAGTAATTCAGCTGGGACCTGCTTGCTGCCCATCAGCAATGCTGAGGTTCTTGATATTCTGTTACCGAGGAGTTAAAAACTATTCCATCTTAAAATGGGGGGTTGGCATTCAAGCATAGCCAACAGTTCTTAGTTAGATCTGTGTGAGACTGATTAAGCACTTGGTGGATGGCTTCAAGAAGATATAATGGGCCAGGGTCTATTAGAGGACTCTCTATAGGAGGTTCAGACATGGGCTCATCCATGCTGTGTGGTGGTGTCAGTGGATAAGATTGTTTGGGTGTCAGAGGGGACCAATACCTTATTAGGGCCTAGGCCTATAGGTGCAGATTGTGTAGGTATTTGCTTATCTAATTTGATTGTTAAAAAAGAGGCTGCCATAGTCCCTTTCACCCAACCTATCTTTATGGTAAATTCAGAGCACCTAGGTTTTTCCTAATTCCCATCCATTAGCCTTTTTCCCCAAGTCCATAAACCTAATGAGGATAGAGCAGCACTGCCCAGTGTCTGTGGTTCAGTGGCAAGGGGATCATGCGCTCCTAGAGCTCATTTGGTCATCAGTCTTACTCAAATGAGGTCCGCCTTGACAGAGGGATCCCACCAAATGTGTCCTGTACTCACGCGATTCCAGGAGGAGCGGAAGAGAGATTCAGCTTCCCAACGTGGTCGAAGTGGAGGTTGGGGAACCAGGTGCCAAGGGGGACTGTCTTGCTCTGCTGGTGGAGAATGTCACCAGTGGATGGATCACTCAGAGCCCAGGTTAGGTTCCAGAGCTGGTGGCAGCTAGAACCAGGGAGCTGGCAACTCCTGGAAGCAAGATGCAGACAGCCCATGTCCATAAGCTTAGGAGCACTGGAGCTTGAGTTTTAATGGGTTCCCCTGGTCTTGGGCAACACACCATCATGGGGAGATGTCCTCTGAGTCTACAAGACAAGTGTGGGTGTGACATATCCAGGTAGCAATCCTGTCAACCTGGTGGGCAGTGGGTGTTGTTAGGACCAAGACATAGGGTCCTTTCCAGCAGGACTCTAGAATCCCCTTCTGGTATCTTCGCAGGAAGACCCAGTCTCTAGAACAGTAGCAGTGGGGAGTAAGAGGTGGTGCACCTCAAAAATAGCCTTCAGGCAAGGCCAGAGCTGCTATTGGATGTGGGCTAGATGTTCAAGAGAGTCAAGCAAGTGGTAATCATCAATTTCAGCTAACACTTCAGATTTTAGGTTAGGTAAAGTGGGAGGGGGTCTTCCAAACATGATTTCATAAGGGGTTAAAGCCAATGTATAGGGTGTGTGGTGAACCCTATAGAGGGCGAAGGGGAGGAGAGTCACCCAGTTCCCACCAGTCTCCAAGTTTAATTTAGCAAGGGTCTCTTTTAAAGTTCTATTCATCCTTTCTACCTGTCCTGAGCTTTAGGGCCTGTAAGTACAATGTAGTTTCCAATCCATCCCAATGGCTTTAGCCATCCCCTGTGTTACCTGAGTGGCAAAGGCAGGTCCCTTGTCAGAGCTTAGGAGGGCTGGCATTCCGTACCTGGGAAGCACCTCCTCTGGTATTTTCGTGATCACTATTTGTGCTGTTTCATGCCTGATGGGGTATGCTTCAGTCCATCCTGAAAAGGTATCTACAAGCACTAGTATGTACCTGTAACCATATTTCCCTGGTCTTACCTCTCAGTAAAGTCCATTTCCCAGGTTTTCCCCAGGTTGGTCCTTTATCCTTTGGTTGATTCTCTGTATTAGTGAGCTTACAGCTCAAGTACTTGGAGGCAATCTGTCTGATCTGGGACCTGAGGTTGAATATTTTTAGGTCTGCCTTTCTTACCAGATCCTCAGTTTTCTTGATGCCCAAGTGGGTTGTCCAGTATATATGCTGGAGCAGACTGGCTGCCAAATTGCTGGGCAGGATTATTTTGCAGTCTCCAGTGAGCCACCAGCCATCAGGCTTATGGGACATAGGCAGTTTATAAGTAGAGATAGCATCCTCTTTGGAGTATTCAGGCTTCTCTGGTAGGACTGGAGCTCCTGGGTCAGGCAGTTGGGAAGTCAAAGCTGCTATAGGATTGAGAGCTGCTGTCTTGGCTGCCAAATCTCCCCAACTGACTGCCTTTTGCTTCAGGCATAGTTGCCTTTTGCTGGCCTCGGGAGTGTATACTAGCCAGTTGTTTTGGAAGCCAAAGTGCCTCCAGCAGGTTTAGGATCTCCTGTTTGTTTTTAATAGTCTTTCCTTCAGCCTCCAGGAGTCCTCTCTCCTGATAAATGGCTCCACGGACACAGGCTGTAGCAAAGGCATACCTGCTACCTGTATAAATGTTGAGTCTTCTGCCTTTTCCCAATTTTAAGGCTTCTGTTAGGGCTATAAGTTTGTCCTGTTGTGCATACATGCTGGGTGACAAAGCAGACGCCCATACAGTTTCTGAGTCTGATAATACTGCTGCCCCCACATACCTTTGTCTATTGAGCACAAAGCTCCTACTGTCTGTGAACCAAGTGGCTTCTACATTTGGCAGTGGCTGGGTCCCTTAGGTCTTTCCTGAGTCTGTGCACCTGGCTTAGTATGCTCACACAATCATGTAAAGGGGCCTCCAAATCTGGGTCTGGTAGCAAAGAGGCTGGGTTCAGGGCAGCGCTTGGTAAAAAACGGATAGCAAGTCATGCGTGCACTGCTCACCCATCTACCTGGAGGTTGTTTGAGAACCCTTTCAACGGCATGGGGAGTGGTAATGTGAAGTACTTGTTCCAGAGTCAGTTTGTCTGCATCCTTGACTAGCAAGGCTGTGGCAGCGATAATTCTCAAACATGAAGGCCATCTAGAAACCACAGGGTCTAATTCCTTTGATAGGTATGCCACTGGGCGATTCCAGGAGCCTGACATTTGAGTGAGGACTCCTTTAGCTATGCCTTTGCTTTCATCTATGTATAGATGAAAAGGCTTGGTGATGTCAAGTAGAGTCAATGCAGGGGCCACTTTTAAGGCCTGTTTGAGTCTATTGAAAGAGTCTTCCTGGGCCTCAGTCCACTGGAAGCGCTTCTCTTTTTTGGTGGCCTCAGAGAGGGGCTTTGCCAATTCTGCAAAATTAGGGACCCAAAGTCGGCAGAAGTTTACTGACCCCAAGAATTGTCTGACCTTCTGTCTTGTGGTGGGTGTGGGGATCTTCAAAATGGTATATTTTCTGGCCTCTGATAGCCATCGTTGGCCCCCTTTTAGGACGCATCCCAAGTACGTTACCTCTTGTTGGCAGATTTGAGCCTTCTTCGCTGATGCCCTATAGCCTAATGTCCCCAGTGCCATTAGCAGGTCCTTGGTACTCTGTTGACATTCTTCCATGGTCTCTGCTGCCACCAAGAGGTCATCTACATATTGCAAGAGGGTGGTATTGGGTTGTTCCTGCCTGTACTCACCCAGATCTTCATGTAGAGCCTTGTAAAAAATGGTTGTTGAATTCTTGAAGCCTTGTGGCAGTCTGGTCCATGTTAGTTGTCCACTGAGTTCTTTTTCTGGGTTGTGCCATTCAAACGCAAACAGAGGTTGGCTCTGTGGGGCTAAACGCAGGCTTAAGACAGCATCTTTGAGGTCCAATACTGTATACCAACTCTTAGAAGGTGTTAACAAACTCAGGAGGGTATATGGGTTTGGTACTGTGGAAGGTATGTCCATAACTCTCTTGTTTACCTCTCTGAGGCCCATGACTAGTCTGTAGTCACTGGAGTTGGCCTTCTTGATGGGGAGTAGGGGTGAATTCCATGGGGACCGGCAAGGTACTAGTATACCTGAGTCCCTGAGCCTTCTGATGTGGGGTGTGATACCCGCTTTGACATCTTGGGAGACTGGGTCCTGTCTTATTTGGACAGGAGTTGCCTCTGGTTTCAGTTCAACACAAATGGGGGCTCTATGCTCCACCAGCCCCATTCCTCCAGTTTCTGCCCAAGCTGAGGGGAATTTGGTTAACCAGGTTGAGAGCTCATTCGGGAGAGATGAGGACAGTTTGCCACGGGATTGGGTTTGGTCTGAATATTGTGCCTCTGTGTCTACTAAGAAACTAATGGGTTTCTCCTCTACTTTAAGGGATACCCTGGGTTCAGGGAGGGGGTACGAACCCTGTCCCCCTTTGTCCCTCTTTGGAGGTTTCTTGGGGCAGTCCTTGATCCAGTGTCCCATCTTCTTACAGTATGCACATTGGTTCTTTTTGAGCTTTGGTTTCCCCTTTTGTTGGGGCCACTTACCTTTCCCGTCCATGAGTTGGCGCAGTTGGTGGTATATCTCTTCCGGGGAATCTGCTGACAGAGCCATACAGATCCTGGCCAACCTTTGATTTTGTAGCTCCTTGGGGGCTTGTAACTGTTTCTTCTTAAGTATTTCTCTGTTGTCAATCACTTCCCCAGCTACCACCAGCAACTCCTGCAAACTCATTTCCCCTAGCCTATCTATTCTCTGCATTAGATAACGCCTGATGTCAGGAGCAGCCTGACGTACAAAAGCCATAATGACTGCTGACTTGTTCTCAGGTGCCTCTGGGTCTAGGGACGTGTAGGTGCGATAGGCCTCCAGAATCCTTTCTAAAAAGGCTGCGGGTGATTCTGTGTTTTCCTGATACACACTACATACCTTGGCCAAATGAGCGGGTCCCTGACCAGCCACCCTGAGGCTTCTTATCAGAGTCTGGTGGTATGCCCGGAGATTCTCCTTACCGTTTGCCGAGTTAAAATCCCAGTATGGTCTGGTGTAAATGCCTGTATCAACAAGAGTTTGGTTATTATTTGCTCCTGCAACCAATTTCACAGCCTCAAGTAAAATCTCCTCTCGTTCCTTAGTCGTGAAGAAGATCCTCAAGAGCAACTGACAGTCATCCCAGGTGGGCTGGTGGGTTAAAAAAACAGACTCTAATAAGTTAATTAACGCTGCTGGTTTCTCTGAGAACGGCGGGTACTTGTATTTCCAGTTATATAGCTCCCTAACATCTAAGGGACAATATTTCATCAATTGGTTTCCCCTATCGTCTTGGGGGCCTGTTGCCCTCAAGGTGAGAACTGTGGACTCAGCCGCAGACAGTCCAGGCAGCTCTTGTTGGGCTTTCTCTTGGGTGTGAGGTGGGCTCACCAAGGGGAACCCTTGAGCCGCTTCTGGGACCTCAGGTTGAGGGCCTGGGCGACTAGACAGCTTTTGTTGGGCTTTCTCTTGAGTGTGAGGTGGGATCACCAAGGGGAACCCTTGAGCCCCTTCTGGGGCCTCAGGTTGAGGGCCTGGGCGACCCCCTGGTGGGGATCTGTAAGGCAGGTGTGAGAAGAGAAGGTCTTCCTCAGTGCTACCCTGCAAGACAGGATAAAGAGGGGCCGCAGAGTTAGTTTCAGTTTTTCGTTTCTCGCTGTTTTCCTGGGCGAGTACAGTGGCGCTTGGCTGCGGTAGTGGCAGCCAAGGCTTGAGCCATTTTGGCGGGTTCTGGACCACATCCAGCCAGGTGATGATGTAGGGGACTTGGTCTGGGTGTCCCGGTCGTCCAGAAATAATATCCTTGGTCCTAAAAATCACGGGTAGGTTCAAAGTCCCCGATGGCGGCCAGCCAACGTTGAAGGTTGGCCATTCCTCCCTGCAAAATGTGGTTAGTCTCTTCTTCTTAACAACTAAGCCTCGTCTTCTAGCCCTAGTTTTATAGTCCTTGAAATGGTCTAAGAACAGAGATAAAGGAGTGGTAGGAGTGGTCTGGATCTGTCCCATGGCGTCAGTCACAAAGAAGTAAGTCCAGACAGAAAGCAAACAGAAGCGCGAAAGACAAAAAGGCTCACTCTGTCCTCCCGCTGGCGATCGTGCCGCGGGAGCGACCCGCTTTGTCTCTTCAAGTCTACGAGGGGATCCAATCCCCTACACGCGGGTCCGCGACGTCTCCAAAGTCCGGTGGCACCGGCGTCCGGCGGGTCCCCCTAGACCGCCTGCAGGCTACTTGGCGGAGTGCCGAGACACCGAGACAGAGCACAAACATTCACTTACCGGCCGGGTTTTGACTCTACGGTTCGGGGGTCCTGGGAGGCTTGGGGGATCCCGGATGAACCCCCAAATGTTATGCCCAGATCCTAGGGTCCCCAAAGATCACCAGGAGTCGAACTCGTATGCAAAAGCAAAGAGTCTTATTCAGTCCCGAGCTCGGACCCTCAGGCTTCTCCAATGCAGCGCGGTAGCATAGAAGGACCGGAGAGCCTAAGGTTCAGCCTTTTTAGTGCAGTTACAGCAAGGTGAGGGACTTACCAACTTGGCAGGCTTATGATTGGCTAACAATGGTTTCCGTTGGCTTAAACAATGTATCTATAGGTTCTGAAACTTTCCGGTGTTTTCCGGCTTCTGGCCCGAGTCTAGGGTGGTTCCTTCCGGAACAGTTTGTAGTTTCTCCAATAATTAAGAGTTTACCTTGAGGACAGGACCTAGTGTATAAAATAGAGGCATGGATACAAGACGGAGTCTGCCTTGTCAAGTTGGGACCCTTCAGGAAGAGGGTTAAAGGATACGACGAAAATCAGGCGACAAAGAGAGATCAATTCCAAACTAGGGAGCCACACAACTTCCTAGTGGGAGGCAGGGGAGGGCTGGGGAGCAGACGCTGTTTCCCACCTCCCCAAAAAAAGGCAAGGCCAGCTAGATGAGGGACAGGTTGTGCTGCCCTCAGGACAAGCTCACAGTTTGAACAAGCCTCAAATCTAGTTTGCAGACTTTGGTGAAACATACATGGCTTGGGACTGTGGCAAAGTTACACTGTAAGTGTGATTTGACCAGCAAAGAGTGGGTACCATCTTGAGAATCTATTGTTAAGTAAAGTGCTACATTGGGAACCCAAGAAGAGGAGGGAGCAGGGTACAGTAACAACCGGGGGAGTTTCAGTGTTGCCTGCCCGGACTAAGACTGAAGGGTGCTGTGGAAAGAGGCCGGACTCACACCTGTAAGTGCAGAGAGGAAGAGCCAGCTCCACCTTCAGTAATCGGGAGCAGACCACTTCAGTCCTGCAATAAACCTCGAATTAACAAAGGAAAATGCATAGAAGACTGGGCAAGTCACTCTGATTTAGTGTTTGTACGTTTGGTCCTCCGTGCACGTGTAGATGCAGAGGTAGCTGCACATCTGTAATCAATCAGGAAGTAAGATAGAAGGTGAAGAATGAAATTATAAAGATCATTTTATAAACTATACATAGGTTCTTCTTTAGGTTTTTCTTTAAAGGGTATGGGAAATTTTCTCTGAAGCAGGCTAAGAATGTGGACGGCCAGTTACAGGAGTTGGCTAACCACATAAGGGGAAGAATGCAAGTCAGCTAGGTGGAACCAAAAAGCTGGTGACCACAATGACTGGGCAAGGCCTCAATGAGAGGGTAGGACCACACTTCTGAGAAGAATGAGTATACAGAGTGTTCTCCACATGACCCTGCGAGTTATTGGGTGGTCATGACATCCCGAGACTTGAGTGAGGGTCTCCCCTGAGTGGGGGTCTTCAAAGGGTAGTATGTTTGAAAGGCCGGCCTAGGATATATACAGGGGCCTGGCTCAAATAAAAAAACAAAAAACAACTGGAGTCAGTTCCATATTGGAGAGAGGAATCAAGCCTGGCACACTCAGGTGAGAAGGTGCTTACAAAACTCTAAAGACAAACAAACCAAAACCAACCAACCAACCAAAATGGGGGGGGGGGGGGGGGGGGGCCCCAGCTGGCGGTGGCTGGTGAGAGCGCTACGCAGCGAGCACTTCTTCCTTTGCCCACGTTTTCCTTTTACTTCAGGCTAAGAATCTGGGGAGGGACCCGTAGAAGAAATCTCCGTATCAGCATTCCACAATGTTGTTTTGAAATTTTAAATATTACTTTTAACTTCAATATCTATAGCTCTGTACCTATAATGTAGATGGTAGTTGATATAAAGAGCTGAAGTAAGTTCCTGATGGGCAAAGTAACTAGTTAATATTATTATGAAGAAAGCAGTTCGATGAGGCCTATGTTAAGAGCCGCAGGATGACAAGAATAACAACGAATTGTTTACGATAAACAAGAAAACATGAGGTTTGTTGTTCCCATACCGGGAGTCGAACCCGGGCCGCCTGGGTGAAAACCAGGAATCCTAACCGCTAGACCATATGGGAGCTGCCGGCAGGTGTCTCTCCTTTGCTCTTATATTACCTCGTCATTAGGGCTGCTTGCCTAAACTCCACCCTCCAAAATCTTTAGCGTCTCATTTCCTAGGAAACAGTGAAGGATCCCCACATCCCTCAGCTGCCCCCGCAGTGGCAGGGAGGATAGAACTTTCTTCGTGCGTGGGAATGTGGCCAACGTCAGCAGCCGAAGGCATTGTCTTCCTCCTACCCCAGCAGCCGCAGCGTCGCGCTTTCCAGAGCCCACCACACCGGAAACGCAGGGCGCAGCAAATGCCTTTGTGTCCAAACCTAGATTTAATCCCGTGGACTCTGACGAGATCAGCGTTCCAGAGAGGTAGTCTTGTAGGAAGAATTTACAGTCAAAACGATTGTGTTCTCTGTCCTCTCTTCCATGCTGAGATATCACTTTACTGACAGAAGCAGCTCGGTCTTCTGGCGTGATGGGTGCCTTTAATACTTCCAAATTCGGGAGGCAAAGACTGATGGGTTCTTGCGAGGTCATAGCCCTCTTGTTTTACAGCTGTGCCCGTCTCAAATTAAAAACAAAACGAAGGAAGAGGGTCGTTTTCTCTCTAGTTACAATAGTCCCAAGCATACAGGCACCAGAGCTAGAGAAGGAGAAAGTGCTATCTTATAGGTTTGTAATCAATCTGCTGTTATTATTCTTGTTATCATTAAAAATTGGTAGATTTATGAGATAATTTTCAGAGATACACAGCCAGAAATGAGTACAGCCTAGACGGTGGTAGAAAAGCTGGGTGCCGGACTCACTGAACATCCAACTGAAACCACAGTGCATCACAATTCCTTTATTACTGTATTAATACAATCCCAAAATCCAAAAATCACAGAAATTCGACTTTCCTTTAAAAATTGATTTAAGAGGGTCTGGAGTGATGGCTCAGTGATCAGGAGCACTCCCCTGCTGGGGTGTGGTGTAAGGAATTAAAGGGGGGTGGCCCACACCTTTAATTCCAGCACAAGTGAGGCAGGGGCTACCTCTGAGTTTGAGGCCAGCTTGGTCTACAAAGCAAGTTCCAGGACAGCCAAAGCTACACAGAGAAACCCTGTCTTTAAAAATCAAAAACAAACAACAACAAAATCCTGGGGCACACAGTGCAGAGACACGGAGACTGAGATTTATTTATTATTCTGGCATGCCAGAATCATTCCTCATACAGGGAGGAGACAACCCCCTGCCCTTAAAACACACACTTTATATATTATCACTTGGGCAGGTTTTAGCAACAGTAACTTGATTGGTTACTTAGGGTATCTAAATTTGTTGATCAGACACACTCAAGCATTTACAGGCAGTTATTATCATACAGGAAGTATGGATCATGGGTAATGTAGGCCACAGGTGGCATACAGCCAGTACATTCTGTGGTCCTCACTTCTTTTCCTGAAGGCTCATCCTCATTTTACCCTTTTGGTTCTCCTGGTAGCCATTTTAAGTTAACTAAGCACCCACACCCACACCAGCACCCACAGGAGACAGCACCTCTTCTATCTTCTAGCCAAAGGGCAGAAGGCACCACATGGTGCAGACATACATGCTGGAAAAGTACCCACACACTGAAAAGAAAGTGAATGTAAGAAATCAAAGAGCTCAGTGACAGTTACTGTAGCTTTCACTTTATTCAATTTTTCTGTCAAGTTTGTGTTTTTACAATTCATAAGTAGAAAAACCAATATAAGCAAAATTAACAAATTTGGAAGAAATATTTACACCCTACAAATGATAACATTCCCCTTCCCAACACAACTGGAATGATAGCTCAGGGAAAAAGTGAAGCAAGACACAGTTCCCAGATGAGAGAATACACCCTCAGCAAAGAGGCTGGGTCTCACTTCAGTAAGCTAAATGCAACCAGGAAGGTCTCCTTGATTCCCCTGAAAGAATGCCAAACGAATACTTCCTACTAGCTCTTCTGGTATTTGTGGGTGTGGGTGTGCGTGTTGTTTTTTCTATCAACTTTAAAAGTCTATTGCCCAGGCTAGTCTGTCATTCCCAGGCTTAAGTGATCCTCCTGCCTCAGCCTCTAGAGTTGCTGAACTACAGGCATGTAACAGGCATGTACTGCCATGCCCAGCCAGAGGTATTTTTATTGACTGGAATTGTCCTGATCTACCTTAAGTTTCCAGACTCCCTTTCTTTCCTGTCACCATTCCAGCTGGCTGACGCAAGGCTTTCACTAGGTCACTGTCTTGCCCCGGGAGGAAGACCCTATGAGACCATGGGTCTCAAGGTGCTCTCAACAATGCTCAGCTTGCTTCATTAGACTTCATAACTCAACTTCATGCCTGGAAAAGCTGGAAACCGTGCAGACTAAGGACATTTCTAGGAGGAGCATCAGCTGAGATGGGCTGTTTATGAAAGAAGGCCTGAGGTAAGGTGGCAGCATCCACAACGGCAATGCTCAGTGCCTCACAAAGTAGATAGATGCAGGTCAGGCAGGCCCAGGGTCCAACTCCTTCAGTTTCTTCTGGAGGCCCCGGAGCTGACTTCGACCCCAGTTGATGCGAGTCTGGAGGCTGGCTATATTTGCAGCCAGCTGCAGGCCTGGGAGAGAAGAGGAATGTCATTGTGGTAGGATACATGGACCCCACCCCCAGACTGCAAGGGTGTTAGACCTCCCTAGCTTGTATAATAGTCCTAAAACGCTCCGAGTATGATACCACTTGACCCTCGCCTTCATCTCACCTGTGCTAAACCATCACCTCCTCAAACACAAAAACTCTCCCTCGACTCACTGTGCTTGCCAGGAATAAGCGAGCACCTCACAGTTCACCTAAACCCCTTTGCCCTCCCAGCATCAAAATCCAGCACTGTTCCAAGCCTTCTTCCATCCTTGTCTTGTACCTGAGCATGAGTCACCCCCTCCATCCACAACCAGGTGGCGATTGCCTCTGTTCTCCATTCCCTTACCCAGTAGGCCAGGCAGGCCTGTCTTTACCTTCCACCAGGCAGCATGGCTGATGTCTCTCCCTAACCGTCCAGGGAATGTTTTCTCAAAATTCTTGGCGTCTAGGA